GATGATACATGTTCTAATATGGTCAATACAGCGGAGCTATTTTATTGTTTCCTCATAATTCAAAAAAATTAATTTTTTATTTTCTATTGTGTTGCATTAGGCGGCTGTTTCGTCCAAGGTGCACAGCTACGAAATGCATTTCGTTGGAAAGAAACAATTGGACCCTGGGAAGAGAGACCTGGACACTTTGCTGATTGTTGGATGTACTGGACTGATGACGGACTTGGTTATTTTGAGTTTCTCCGAGTAGGGATCTTTTTTAGTTCTGTCATTCAAGAATGCTTGGAGTTTCCTTTAAAATCCTGCTTCTGTCGGTACCAATTTTTGAAAATTTTATTTATGCAGCTAGCAGAGGACCTTGGTACATTGCCAATATGGGTATTTAATAGCGGTACTTCACATTTTCTTAGCGCTTCCTTTATCTTTTCAATGATCACGTTCACCTTTGCCAATACTGACTGTATGAATTTCATAGGAATCAGTCTCAATGAACAAGTTGATACTTCCAGTGTCTTACCATTTGTACAGGTATGTCTGCATTGCTGACCATTTCTCATTAGCTAATCAGTAACTGATACCAAATGGATGTAGCAAACCATTAATTATTTTCTAATCGGGATTATATCTTTGCAACTAAAGCAAATATATGCAAGTGACACTTAGGCTTTTCAAAATATGCTTCATCCTTATAAATCTGTGGCTTTATGTGCTTTGGTGTATGAAACATCTTTGCAAATATGGTTTTAGGAGATCAAATTTAGATTTTGCCTTCTTTTTCCGGTCAAGTGGTTTCATTGTCTCCAAGCCTAGCCTCATTTGAGTTCCCACTAAAGGATGTTCATACAAGTGGGGTTGCTGTGGTGGGGGTAGGGCAGAGCTGGAGGTGACATAAGGTGTTGTCACTCATTGAAAAACACTAAAACATAGCGACAAAATGCAGTAAAAGCATTTACATTATGTGAAATATGTGTTAATGTGGTGTATTCGCTGCTACTAGGAAAACTTTGCATTGAACTCTCAATGTGATATGAGAACTTGTATCGACTCATTAACATTATAAGTATGAATGCTATATGTCTATCTAATGCAATTTGAACATAAATGAGAGGAACCGTGGATAAGATGACGTTTTGATGTCCTATATAAGATAAATTTTGCTACTTAATTCTAAATCGTGTTAGTAAACCTGTTATGTGTTAGTAAATCTCAAACTTATGGTTTAACTTTCACATTTTCTTGTTTACAGGAAGCTCTTGATGGTCTTGAGTTTGCTAGAGGCAATCCTAATTCTACCTGGGGTTCTCTCCGTGCTGCAATGGGACACCCAGAACCCTTTGACTTGAGATATGTTGCTGTTGGGAATGAGGATTGCGTAAAAGAGAACTACCGAGGTTTGTATATTTTCTAGTTCATGCTTTTTGTTTGCTCTTTAGTTGGTTAGATGGAACGGATTGAGTTTTACACATATGGGACGTAGGATGACTTTCTGCATGCAAAGTCATGCAAAACTGAATCTGTTTATATGAATGTCCTTACAATTTAGTTCAGTTTTCACTCTTTTGTCCTTAAAACAATTGCAACTTTGCAATATACTTCGGGAAATAACTCTGATTAAGATCTGAATTTTTTTCCGCAGTAACTTCAGTTCTTCTGCCACAATCCTTTCTCTGAAAAGGCAAACTTGCAATTCCTTATTTTTTGTGAATCAAATGATGACCTGTGTCTACTTCATTGTCTTTTATTCCTTGAATTTTTCTCATTATTGAAAAGTCTTGTTTTCCATACAATAATGGCATCATATTGTAGAAGTAATTAAACGGAAGTGCTAAAAGAAGTAGATTCTTGAAAACCCTTCTTTTCAAACCTGTGACATTTTTCCGCTTCACTTCCCAAATTCTCGAAAGAGTAAAACAAGATAAAGAATCCCCTTCATTCTATGAACTTCTTTATTGAATTGAATGCTTGGTGTCGGAGCTCGTGGTAGAATTCTAAAGGACAATTTCCACACTGATTTCAATGCAACAGACATAGGATCTACTTGTAAATTTGGGAGACGAGCCTTATTGATTTTCTCAGCAATCAGTCAACTGAATTGCTGAGCGAATCATCTGGCGAGCCTAACACATGTTAAAGTTGCACATCCAACACATAAGCAATTGGCAGAGGATGCAGGGACCTTGAATTTTAGATTTTGTGATTCAATGTAATATATATAATAGAGGATTTTATATTCTCCTCGACGCTTATGCTTTTCCTCTTTTTCTTGACCAGGAAATTACCTTAAGTTCTATAGTGCTATAAAACGTGCCTATCCAGACATCAAAATAATTTCAAACTGTGACGGATCTTCTCAAAAGTTGGATCATCCAGCTGATTTGTTTGATTTTCATGTAAATTTCATAACACCACCACTTGTATTACACTTGCTAATGAATTTTTTTTTACCATTCAATGAGTCGGATCATTGACTTGGCAACATGGAATGACATGTTTTCATGTAAAGTTCTATGCAGATGATCCCAAAAACATGTTTTCTATGGCTCATCACTTTGATCATACATCACGTAGTGGTCCCAAGGTAGGGTAATGTGCCTTCTTATGATTTAATATGCTCTGCATGGCTTCTATTAATTTTCTTAACATTCAATATGATTCAGGCTTTTGTGAGTGAGTATGCCGTCACAACAGGAAGTCTTCTAGCAGCACTAGGTGAAGCTGGATTTCTTATTGGGCTGGAGAAAAACAGGTTTGTTGTAGCATTTCAAGAATTTGTTTCCTGTAATATTTTCCAGAATGCTTACAATGTTTTCTTTACAGAATTATTTTTCTTCAAAGTTCCAGCAGGAAAAATATGCATAGTTCCAGCAGAAATTATATAGATATGTCTACACATAATTAAAGATCTAATTTCTTTTATTATATATTTGCGAATGCAGTATTTCTCCTTGCAAAAGAAATGCATAGCATTTCCTGCACTTTTGTTTGCCACAAATCCATGTTGTGTGTTGCACAAGTTGCCTTGTGTGACCAGCCGCACATCTGTTTTCTATGGAGTTGAAGGCTTCTCATATTCCTAACCTATAGAGATAGTATTAAACTGAAATAAAAAATCATAAATGGTAATAGATCACAGATGTACTTGTATTCTTTACACCTACTTTTTACCAAAAGATTTATATACTTGTAAAGACGGGCAGCTACTGAGTACTTTCATTGTTTATTCTTATCAAATGCAGTGATGTTGTTGAGATGGCAAGTTATGCACCACTCTTTGCGAATGACAACGGCAGGAAGTATACTTTTCTCATCTCATTTTTTTTTCTCCAATGCAATTTTTATTTGTTAAGTTTTCAAGAGGGGATCATTGTTGTGTAGTTATTACTAAAACTGAAAACTTCTCTGTCATCAAGCTCGAAATTCTCTGCAATCGTCTTTAACTCCTCACATCTCTATGGGACTCCTAGCTACTGGATGCAATGTCTTTTTAAGGAATCAAGTGGAGCAACTATTTTCAATGCAACACTCCAAACAAATTCGTCTACTAATCAAGTGGAGCAACTTCTTGCATCTGCAATTTCTTGGAAAAATTCAGAAAATGAGAATAGTTACCTAAGAATCAAGGTTTTTGTTTGTGCTAGTACATTATCTCAGTCAGTTTTATGCTTCGTGATGCTTAATTGAGATTGTGTTCATCTAACCATTTTTGTTCTGTGTAAATTGTAGTTTTTCGATGCCCTTATAGCGTCTAATACATATTTGGAATGCCTAGTATGGAAAGAAGCTCATATTTCACATTGCTCTAGAACTATTACGACTTTGTTGCTTCAAATGGAAAATATTAGAGACAACTCAATCAATGCATGAATCAGAAATACTATAGCAATAAGTTTTATATGAATTGTCAGTTAAATATAGGGGGTGTATTTATAAATATTGTCCATTCTTTTTTCTGCTCAACTTTCTAGGCGTATCTGGTCTGAAAGTAACATGTGTTTGCTTGTACTGCGTTCTTTCTGTGTGTTTGGTGCCATCTTTCTTTGTTCAGTATGGTGAATCTGTCTGCTTTTCTTTTTCTGTATTGCTCAGTCTCTGGTCTGAACTATTTTTATGTTTAGGTTTCTTTTTTAACTATGACTTCATTCCAAATTCATGCCGCTTCGTTCAACAGTTTCTACCAATATGGTGCATGTCATATTCTGTGACATCTTATTACTTTGTGATGATTATTTCTTTCTGTAGATTGTGAACTTCGGAACAGACATAGTGAATCTCAAGATTGTTGTGGACGGGTTGGAGCCGAATTCCATTAATCTGTCTGAGTCGACCAAGACCGTGCTCACGTCAAACAACCCGATGGATGAGAATTCCTTGAATGAGCCAAAGAAGGTATCTGAGTCAACTTGTATCCTTAAACATTTTCATGTTGTTGAAGACATGACCCTACATTGCTTTTGCATATACTTTGGACCATGTTTGTGGGAACAATGATGAACCAATATTGATAGCGTTTTACATAACAATGCTTTGGACCATGTTTTCTATCCAATATCTTTTTACTTTGGTTTTAAATTAAATGCAGGTGATACCGAACCGGATTCCACTTGAGAAGGGTGGGGAGGATGTGGAGGTTGCAATCTCGCCGAATTCTTTCACTTCGATTGATTTCTTAATAGAATCAAGCTAGAGCTGATTCTGTCTCTGTATCTTCTATTTAAAAGTTCGAAATAGAATAAGGGCTCATTTTAAATTGGTTTTAAATGTTGCTTTTGGTAAGTAAACACTAGTCTTGCGAAAGGGCACAAATAACACACTTTTGGGATTTTAGTCTTTGGATTCTGATTCCTTACCCCAATTGTATTACCAACTTAGGGGTTGTGGTATGGATGGTAATAAGTTGTCATGAAGCCCATTAAAATTAACCAAAATAGCCCATTACCTTAGATAGCCCACGAAGCCCAAATGTTTGGTGAATTTAGCCCACTTATTGGATAACTTGATTTTCCATATTAAAAAACCCATACAATTTGAATAAAGGGGATCCAAAGCCCTCAGCACTTGGCTGAAGAGGAGAGCCACAAAGAAGCCAAGGGATCCACACGTGAAGGGCTGCTGGGAGGGAATGAACAAGTTTTCAAGCAAAGCATCCAAGGGACCAAAAGATATTGGCGCGCAAGGAGCTACCCTTCGAACCAGCATGTATGCCCAGTTCTTTCCCTCTTCAGATCTGACCATGAAAAAGGGAGGGGGAGAGAGGAAGAGGGATATCTGAAAATAGGAATGCTTCACAGAGGTAGCCGCGGGAAAGGGGGCCTTAAGCTCCCAAAATCCCTGATTTTATGCAAAGGAGCAGAGTAGATTTCACCAAAAAAAAAGATGATTGAAAGGATGAGGAGAGAAAGGAAGGGAAAAACTTGGCAAAATAGGATGGAAGTCATTAGGGTTTCTTGGAAACAGATGGCTTCCAGCGGCTATAAATAAGGCCTCTTCTACCCAACGAAAATAATCCACAACCAGAGAGCAAGCTTCCTCTCTGACTTTCAAAACCAACAATTTTCGTGCTTAGTTCATCTCTTTCCTCAGTTTTCCTTCTTGCCATGCTGTTCTAACACTTGACAGAGCCTCTGTCAAGCTGCTGGAAAATTACCCAAAATACCCCATACTTCACCACTAGCCATAACCACAAATCCAAGAGCAAGCTTCCTCTCCTACCTGTAAGAACTGCAGCAAAATTCGTGCTCTACTCCTCCTCCCCCTCATTTTTCCCCTTCTGGCAGGCTGCTCTAGCATTTGACAGAGTCATTGTCAAGCTGCCGGAAATAATATTCAAGCCACCCATTCCTCTCTTTTTCCTCATTCTCAGCCAAACCTCTCTGCAAACTCTTCATCTCCTACCTTAATATCCCTTTTCCCCCAGGAATACTTAGTTTTCTCTTCAGTGCTAAACTCATGACAATTTTGCTCCCATGCCACAAGCTTCTCACTCCAAGCTAGAAAATTTATCTGTAAGTTGTTGTTATTTTCATTAGTGAAGGTAATTAAGAAGTTTCCTAAGGCTTCACTACCCTTTCGAGACGTTCTTGGGGCTTGATTTTCGAACTCAGACACAGGGGGATAATTTCATATTTCGCTCCTTACGGAGGCCTAGCCCATCTGTAGTTGCCGGAAGAAAAAGGCCCCTACAATCTTCAATTTCTTAGCTTTCTTCTCCAATTGGCCTTGCGCTAAAATTAATTCGAAAAGTCAATTTTCAGTCGAAATCCTTCCAAGAGCACAGAATAACTAAAAATAAGAAAAGTAAGGTAATAATGCTCTTTTTAATTAACTTTCCCTACAAAAACCAAATAAATGAGGTATAAAAATATAGTAAATAATGCACTTATCAGATAAAATCGACGATATCATAACGTCCCCCTCCGATATGGCAATTGCCTGCAGAAGTTAGTTGCTGAAGCTCTCCACTACAGAACCTAACCCGCGGACACATGTCACCACAATAGCTACTTAAACGAAGTCCCACATCGAAACTTTGTGCAAACTCCCACTTCCATCACTTTATAAAAAGGGGCACATGTCCCCAAAATGAGGTAACGACTTTTCACCTTTACTATTACTCTGCCAAAATTACCACATATCGTTAACTTAAGTATCGTAGAGCCTTCGGCAGGCACCACACCGGTGCCCGAAGCTTGACGATTGTTCCTTCCTTATTTCCTTCTACAAGATCACTCCGTGCTGAAGGTTCACAACCTTCTCTCCCTGCTGAAGATCCACCACTCCTTCACCTAAGTTGACCCTCCGAAAAAGAGCATCAACAGTTTGGCGCTGTCTGTGGGAACCGACTTCTGGACCCCACCTCTCTACCAGCTCCGTTGGCTCCATCTCCTATCCTACTCCATCGTCTCTTCTGCCGCTCCAACTCCACTATGCCAAGTGAAGCTAGCCTTGATACCCAACACCATACCCCTCATGGGGAGTCCTCCCGAAGGAAACCTTCGGCTGATGTACACCTCCAGGCCGAAGTGGAGGGCCTTCATGCTGATGTCGCAAAGATGACGGAGAGCTACGATGTGGGTTTAAAATGCCATATTCCAAAATCCCAAATAGCAAACTGCCCAAAACTTCCTGCGCAAGAAATCTCACATATGTGGATGTTGAGAAACTTGCTAGTTTGTGCAGTCTGTTGTCCAAATTGTTCCATCAATATCGTTATCAATCTATAAAATTTCCATCTGTGGATGGAGAAAAATATAGAAGACTACTTATATTGATTCCATATTTGATCAAACTGTCCTTTTAAAATCTCTCTACAAACTGAGCAGCCGTGGCTTACTCAGTTTGCACAGTAGATCCCAAAACTTGATCAAAGTCTTTTGCAGTATGATCAAGCAGTAACACTTTATGCCCTTGATCATACTTAAACAGATAAGGTATGCAAACTGTTTGAAACTTCATATTATTGTGACTATTTATTAAAACAGAAAACTTATATGCATATTTTATCGAAGACATGGATTAGATTAAGAAACAAAAGCCTAGAGTTGTGATACCACATATTAATCTGTACTAGACTTTCATAACTCAACCAGACATATTGGATGTAGAGGATCTTCTTCTCTATGCAACACTGCAATGTTATTTCTCTATGATGGGGTGAGAACTGTTTTAGTGTGTGTTGTTGCTAAAGAAGGGACCTCTATATATACGCATCACTTGAAAGCCTTGGCCATCAAGGAGCAATCAAGTGTTCCAGTTACATTAGAATTAGGTTGTTTCAATCCATGTAGAATTAGGAATTCTATCATCTCTTGTATTTCAATTAGGATAACTTTTATACAGAGATAATCCGATAAGTCTGAGTATACTTCCTGAACATGCAAACCTCTCGAGTCCTCACATGATTAGAAGACCACAATTCGTGGTTAAGACAATGAATTGTCTTACAAGTATATCTAGCCTTGTGTTGGCATGTGGTATCCCCATGATATATAAGTTTTTGTCCTTGGCTTTGGGCTTAGGGGTATCCACTTTTGTGGACAAGGGACAGGTTGACCCTGAGTTTTTGGGGCCGTAGGAAAAAATAAAACAAGGCGCCTACACAAGACGCCTACAACCAAAAAAAGAAAAGAAAAGAAAAACCCTAATTTTATTGGTCGGTTCTTTTTCCTCAGCTAGAAAACACTATATAATTAAATTTGGCTTAATTGTGCAAGATATAGGGCTATTTACAATGTAAGGGTTCAGAGTTTAGGCGCAAGTAAATATATACAAAGGCCTCGAAGACATAGGCCTCTTTCCAAAGAAATTGTTGAGTTTTACAACACTAGAATTATACATATTATGTCATATTTATTGGCCTCTTTATAATCAACTACTGAGTTTTACAATCTAAATACAACTGCTTCAACAAATTGGAAATAAGAAATTTGAAAGGCAATTTCCTCAAAGCCTTTTTGCCTAAAACCTGGTAATCGACCTGGGTTGGTTTGCTTCACATTCCGAATCTTTACATTTATACTCCACGTATTTATCTGCATTTCAACTCATCTTGGTCATTAGAATAATCTAACAACTTAAAACATAACATGTCTAGCATAAAATTAGGGGGTTGTATTCAATTGAGATTTTAAAAGACTATTTATGGATAAATAAGTCCAGTGGATTTTAAAAGACTATTTAGGAATGTAATGACTTATAAGATTTTTTTTAAAAAGATTTTTATAATTAGGATTTTTTACATTTGGATTTTAAAAGATTTATATCATAAGAATTTATAAGATTTCAAAGGACCACATGGATTTTTGACTTTTACGATGCTAACTAACCAACTTTTAGTCGGATGATGAGTAATGTCGGTCTAGTTCAATGATGCACGAATTCTCCAGGAACAGCCTCTACAAATTCCCAAGCTTTCCAAAAGATGGTGGAATTTTTCCTTCCAAAAGGTTTATTATTATTTTAATTATTTCTTTTAGGACCTTCCCTATTAAGAGGGGCGATAGTATACCTAACTCACACACACTACACGGATGCTATGACTCAAATCGAGAACCTTTCCTAAAGGGAACATTTGCTCCAAACCACTACACTAGTGAGTGTTTTGCAACCCCTGCTACAAATTAAATTAGACACTAATTGTAATTTCCATGATGCAATTAAGTGGTTAGGCATTGACTTGACTTAAGTAATTGAATAAATTTGGAGTTTTCAATTAGTTTGGATGACACTATATTGATTGACTTGATAGACAAAAACAAGTTGCACACTGTCACTTTTTCTTTTTTCTTTCTTCTTATTTCAATAATTTCTAATTTTATATTGGAGATATTTTTTGAGGATGCACTAAGTGGAACTAAATTTCAATTATTATTTTTTTTATTTTTTTTGTGCATTGGAGAAAATTCTGGCAAGACAATAGTACCTACTCGAATTTTGGCCAAATATTTCCTATTTTTCTTCCCACGCAATTGTTAAGCTAGACTAGACCTGAGAATTGAGATGGTGATTTGCCTTCCAACGCACACCAGACTCTTTCTCACTATTGTCTTGCAGTTGTTGACTCGGCTTGACTTGACTTGAGATGGTTGGTAACGGTGCCTTTCCGTGTCCACTCAACCTTTTAAATTTGCCTCCCATCAAGGCGGGGCACAAACTATAATTATCTTCTTGCAAATATGGACTTTGACTTAACTTAAACATATGTCTACCAACCCAATATTATTATTGTACGTATTTATTTATTGATACTTATATAGTAAAGCATAAATCTTCCACCAATCACATATTAAAAATAAGATAAATTAATATTACATGCAGTGATACAATTACTCTTAAAAATTTCTCATATTATAATTTATAGTGATGATCACGAAATTCTTAAGTAGGAAGGAGTATATTTAGTGCTGAATCTGATCGCTAAAGTTTCGGAGCAAGGAAGTCAAAGTGTCCTTCATTTTGCATTCAGCTTCACATCTATTAGAGAAATGGTGCACAAGCTGGTCTGTAAAGTTGGTCTCCCTAGCCATCAAGGTAAAACTACATGGATTATTTGTGACAAATCAAGTTCTTACAAACAAGACAAGTTACAAATCATTTACCAAAGAAAATTCCCACTACATAATTCCTTTATAAAAAAATACATATTTACCGATATATATAAAGGCACAGGTAGATAATAGTGAAATATTCAAAATACTAAAAATTGTCCTTGATTAAAGAATTTATTAAGTATTGAAACTTTCAATAAATAAGGATAATATACAAAATTAATTTTTTTCATATTAAAAAAAATTCAAAATCAAAATCAAAATAAGAACATGGGTCTTAATTCATGGGACACAACTTCTCTTTTTAAAATTTTAAAGGAAAAAAAATAAAAAATATAATTGACACACACAGCTAGTATGAATCGAACAAGAAAATAAAGGGTGTCGTTTAACCAAATTTCACGTCGTCACTTAGAGACTTGACTTTAAAGACTTGGACTCTTTATTTCCACCAAAAGCACATTTTTAAGAAATCACTTTAAAGACTTCAAAGATTTACAATCAAGTTCTGCAGATTGCCCTCGCAGAGGTTAATGCCAATGTTCCTAAAAGGATTTTTGTGTTCACATACAGGGATTTTGAGAAGGCCTCTAAGAACAATTGGGTGCGGGATTTTAAGGAGGCTTTGGATAATTATAGAAAGAGAGGGTATTTTAATGTGCCACAGTTGATGTTCTGGAATCTTAATAACCCATATTTTTCAAGAGTGACTTATCTTTTTGAAATGGGATGTTGCTGGTATGCTAAAAAAGAAGAGCATGTAGTCATTTTTGGCACATCCTTTGAACGAGATCGATGTATATATTTATGGGTTTTGCTTGGTTGATTAAAATAACACTATAGCTGGAAATAATACATCAATGGGAGAAGTCCGAATCAATTGTTCTTACAAGTAATTAAAAATAATATAAAATAATATTTATTCATACTAAGCACTCCAAATTAACTCATAATCTTCTATAGATATTTGTGCAAGACACAGTAACAAATCATTACTATGATTAAAAATAAAATAAAAAAAGTTCAAGTTTGACAACAAAACTATGGGATGGGAGAAAATAAAGAGAAAATTAATTGGCTTTCAATAGTAAATGATATGATTTAAAATACTCTACAAAAAATAACATTCATGGCAAACAATTGTTTCAAGTTCTTACAAATCATTTACCATAACTCAACGGTGTGGATAACTCCACATCACCAACTATTCATCCAATGGTTTATAACAGAAGAGAGAGACGACTCAAGACCAAGGAACAATATTATCGGCGAAATTATCGTTTTTTTTGGGTAGCGATATTTTAGCCCATTTCCATCTATATATCGTCAATTTATCGATAATTTCCTCGATAATTTTGCCGATATTTTGATAACGATATTTTCGTCCAAGTGGACGCTGCGAATGGTCAATATCGATATTTCAAAAATTATCGAAAACTCCACATGCATACAAGGGTTCGAACTCCTTCCCCATTCTAAGGTCTGTAGCGACTTAACCATCACGCCAGTCCTCACTTTGTGATAATAAGCTATGGAATCTGTATTTATAATACTTGCGAGATGTTTCTCAAAATAGAAATTAACATAATTACTTATTGTTTTATATTGTTGATTAGTTACTTAATTACTTAATATAATTTATTTCTTTTCTATTTAATCCATTTAATGTTATTGATTATTTTATTATTCATTATAAGTACTTACATTACTAAATTTCCCTTCAAATTGTTGCTTAATTACTTAAATCTCTATAATTATTTTCTTTATTTACTATTTAATTCTTCCTTGGATAAATTTATTTATGTTCTTAGTTAATTTTCAATCTTCACTATTATTTTTTAAGCATGGTAAAGTGCCTAATTTTCATGAAAAATCAAGTTGGTTTATATCTTTAATTATTTTTCAATTTTTAATAAATAATAAATATAAGAACGTATACCATTAGTGGCGGACCCACAGAGGCGCAAGGAGGCGCAAGTGCACCTCCCCTCGCCTGAAAATGCCATAGAAGTCAGTCATCTTGAGCTCTTGTGCGGCTGGGTGGCTGGGCAAGAATGCCCACAACCTGTTTGTGGAAAGGCTGGAGTGAAGAGCAACAGCAGCAAGCGCGATCTATTTTTCTCTTTAATAATTTGGCCAAAATGAATCGTTTTGGACCATATCAATTAATATGTTTTAAAATCTTTGTGTGCAATACACGTGTTTAATTTTTGTTATATTAAAGACCACATCATGCTGCAGCTTTAGTTTGAGGGTAGAGTAGTCATTAGAGTTTGAGGGCTTAACCTATATATATAAAAGCACATATTGAACTTTAAAATGTTGTTGAATTATTAATGAAATTTTTTGTTAATTTAATCTTCTTGCAAGTTCTTCTTTTCTTTTTTCTTTTTTTCTTTTCCCTGAATATATAAATTGCACATTTATGACAAGCGAATTTTGTTAGTTCATATATACATTACCATATTGTAAATCCAATTAATCAATATATTCAAATCATGAATGTGCATCATGCAAGTTTTTCAAAACAAAAAATAATATTTTTTTATTAATTAGAAAATGTTATTTCTTTTATAAATTATGAATAATAATAGTATCGGTTCAATTATAAATTTCCAAAGATTTTTTTTTTTTTTTTGTGTGTGGAACAGTTAGTCTTTGAAATGTTGCACCTCCTCTTAAAAATTCCTGGATCCGCTAGTGTGTACCATGTCCAGTGAATAATGTGAAATAAGGTTACTCATGTATCTTACCATGCAATTTATAAAGTGTAAAATCTTGTACTAAAAAATGATAAATAAATTACTAGGGGGTGTTTAATTCTCTTTCATTAATTACTCCAGATTTTCTAAGTCACCGAATTTGTCAGCTCGCAATATAATCAACTTAAATCACTCAAACCCACTATGTAATGCATTTCCTTCCAATTTTTTGTGTCAAAATAATAGATGATTGACTAAATAATCTTCTTCTAAAGTTTCATTAAAAATTTTCATGTATTTATCACAATTTCCGTGGTTTTTATTCAATTTTTATCGATATCGATATTTTCCCGATATTTCCATCGATATTTCGGTGTTTTTAAACCACCGATATTTTCGAAACTATCTATTTAAGACCTTGCTCAAGACCCAAGACCCAAGACTCAAGACTCAACAGTTTCTGAACTGAATTTTATACTAAATGGATGAGAACTTAATAATGCACTCTTATCAGAGCATTGCCGAAAATCACCATCTTTCTGGGTTTCAAGTTCTTACAAATCATTTACCATAACTCAACGGTGTGGATAATTCCACATCACCAACTATTCATCCAATGGTTTATAACAGTAGAATTTTCTCGATATGTTTGGTCTTGCTTGTAATTCACGGTCTGTTTCGTGAAAGTAAGGTAAAAGCGCCGGATAAGAGAAGGGAGAGACGACTCAAGAACCAAGACTTAAGACTCGAGACTCAATAGTTTCTGAACTGAATTTTATACTAAATGGATGAGAACTTAATAATGCACTCTTATCTGAGCATTGCTGAAATCTTTCTGGGTATTCTCTTCTTCTTTGTGGAATTGGGTTTTTTCTCTTTATCTTTTTATATCAATTTTATTGCTTCACTACAATCTCCTTGAGTTGATCAACTTTGTAGTTATTTAATTGGTCTTAATTATTTGTGGGTCTTTCATAATATTACCACACATCTATCAGTTTGATTGAACCAAAAAGTCATTGTGAGAAAGTGTTTATTGGATTTCTATATTTTGTTGATCATTCATTAACTGAGAGACCATTTTTCATTTTTTGTGTTACCATGTTCTTTTTCTGTTTAATTGATCAGAATGTAACTGAGTATCTCCTCTGTCATTGCTTTTTTAGCTGTGGAAGTATTGGGTGTGATAACTGAGCAATGGGCTCTTGCAAGTCCCCTCATGTTGTTCTTCTGCTATATGTCTTGGTTTGCTTTGTGTATCAATCTTTTGCTTTTGGAGTTGATACGAACCAGACAGCAAAGCTGCTGGTGGATGCTTCTGAAGCATCGGGACGGCCATTATCTGAAACACTGTTTGGAATTTTCTTTGAGGTTAGTGTGTTGGCTTGGAATAGTGAATTTTTGTTCAGTTCCAACTGCTTTTTGTTACTTCTATAATCTATAGCTTGTTAGCTATTACTGTAATTCTTACAATTTTTAAAATCTCTTTTCATTTGTTTTCTTATTTTATTTTATTTTATGTGCGGATATATCCTGATTTATGCGGCAATTATAAACCTTCTGTCGCTTAAACATGTCTGTCTCATTATATTAGTAATATTGTGGTTTCATTTAAGATGCTACTAATTTTGAGGTATATGCATTCTCTCAAATGCTTGTTCACTGCAGGAGATTAACCATGCTGGTGCTGGCGGGCTATGGGCTGAGCTTGTAAGCAACAGAGGTACTTCCCTTACTCTCTGCATTCCAGCTGATACAAAAAGTGAAAATAACATATAGGAAAATATTCTCTTGCCAGATTGTTTGGCAACATAAGATGCTTATTATGTTGCTAGATTGTGAAGCTAGACCATTTCAAAATAATTCGTGCTTGAATGTGTGGTCCAGATTCACATTCTGACAAGAAAGTTCAAAATTCATGTGTGTGAGAACCATTGAAGTAACTGTTTGAATGCCTTTCTGTTGTCATTACATTTTCAGAGTTTCTTTTCAAATCTGATATATGTAGTACGAGTCAAGCTGGCAGACACCATTTTTTCTGTTCTTATATTTTGGAAGTGGAGGGTTATGGTGTCTTCCTGAAACATTTTACTGTTGAATTAACTCTTCATTGAGATGTTTAGGATTATCCTATGAATGTTTTTTTTATGCAAAGTTGTTGTGTTTGAGTTAATGTGCTACCTGCTTGTGCAAGTGTGGTTGAGTACAAAATAGAGAAATATTCTACTTTTTTTGTGACACACTGATTTCCATCTTTATCTACCTCACTCACTGCATTTAATATGGACTACCAGATCCCTCTTTTTTTTTTCTTTGATTTCTTTTCTGTCTTGTCAGTTTTAAGTTCAACAACAGGTTGAATGACTTCAGATTATCAGTACGTGGTTAAAAAGTTCTCTTCGGAATCATATGACATGTGGAATTCGCTGTATTGCTAAATATAAAATGTTATAGTTAGCTTTTGGCTCGTAATTTTGACTGAATGTTCAGAGCTGAGGCTTCTTAATAACGTTTTCGCACAGGTTTTGAAGCTGGGGGCCCAAACGTTCCTTCCAACATTGATCCTTGGTCAATAATTGGGAATGAGTCATCTTTGATAGTGTCAACAGACCGTTCTTCATGCTTTGACCGCAATAAGGTTGCACTCCGAATGGAGGTGCTATGTGATAGCCAAGGTGCCAATAGCTGCCCTGATGATGGTGTAGGAATTTATAATCCTGGGTTCTGGGGCATGGTATGAACCCTTCAACTATCATCTAATTGGTTCATTCTAAATGCTTATGTTCCAAATTCACAGTATTTGTCTGAAAACGGAACATTGCTCTCTCTCTCTCTCTCTCTTTATATATATATGTGTGTGTGTGTGTGTGTGTGTGTGTGTGTGTGTGTGTGTGTGTGTGTGTGTGTGTGTGTGTGTGTGTGTGTGTGTGTGTGTGTGTGTGTGTGTGTGTGTGTGTGTGTGTGTGTGTGTGTGTGTGTGTGTGTGTGTGTGTGTGTGTGTGTGTGTGTGTGTGTGTGTGTGTGTGTGTGTGTGTGTGTGTGTGTGTGTGTGTGTGTGTGTGTGTGTGTGTGTGTGTGTGTGTGTGTGTGTGTGTGTGTGTGTGTGTGTGTGTGTGTGTGTGTGTGTGTGTGTGTGTGTGTGTGTGTGTGTGTGTGTGTGTGTGTGTGTGTGTGTGTGTGTGTGTGTGTGTGTGTGTGTGTGTGTGTGTGTGTGTGTGTGTGTGTGTGTGTGTGTGTGTGTGTGTGTGTGTGTGTGTGTGTGTGTGTGTGTGTGTGTGTGTGTGTGTGTGTGTGTGCATGCATACGCACACAGCACGAGAACATGAACAACAAAACTGCAGACACACTATGTAAATTTTTACTACATTTTTCTTTCTGGCTTTTTGCTACTGGTTTCTTACCTGTGTTTTGTCCAGAATATTGAAAAGGGGAAGACCTACAGTGTTGTTCTTTATGTCCGCTCATCTGGATCAATCAATGTGTCCGTATCATTGACGGGCTCAGATGGGTTGCAGAAACTTGCTGCTGCGAACATTATGTGGGCATCCTCTGTTCTGCTGATATTTTGTAATCAGCAGTTCCTTACTGACAGTTTTATCTCCATATAAGTATAAGAGTCTGACAGTTCATTTCATTGCCTTTGCAGAGCTTCTGGTTCAGAAGTTACAAACTGGACCAAATTCGAAGTTATGTTGGAAGCCCAAGGAACAAATCCTAATTCAAGACTGCAATTGACAACAACCAGAAAAGGGTTTATATGGTTTGATCAAGTGTCAGTCATGCCCCTGGATACATATAAGGTACCTTTTTTCTCCACAAATTCACTCATTCTCGTGACGTGAGATTATGTCATCAATATTTGGATGTATTTAATCGTCTCACCCGTGTTTCACAAGATTGTTACAAGTATAATGTTCTGTTTTGAAATTCTAGATTTTATAGTCTTTTGAAAGACATTAATATGAAAGCTGATTAACGCGAAGTTCATACTAGGGGTGGAGTATTACCATGAAGGATGCATTATGCTTTTAGACCACCTATCTGTTATATAAGGGTCTAGAACATCTTTTCCTCAGATATAGTTTTTCTTGGTTGCATATGTACTTTTCCTTGGACTTCATTTATAAGCCAGTTTTTTCCTGTTTTGTGTAGGCATGTAATTTAGAGAGAATTATACATAATATGTCATATTTATTGACTTCAGTAATTGTGATTTTGATAGCCAATACATTTGAGGATGTAACAAACACCTCATACTTTCATTGATGAAAATTTCTCAAAATGAAGAATGCATGGTTTGATATATCCACACTTTCAGCTAGTCATCTTAACAGCTGTATTATTTTAGCCTGTGTTGTTATATTTTGTTTGAATGTGACTTATTGAATGCAAACTGCACTCTGTTTATTCTTCCAATGTGAATTATGGACCTAACCATTGGAAAATATATGACATTGCAGCAAGCGCTACAGAAAATATAATTTCTTAAGATCACAACATAATCTACATTGAATCTGTCATAATTTCTACTTTGCAATTCTGTTACTGCCATTAATATTGATGAAAGTTTCTCCATGTTTGGATTGATAGTCTTTAGGGATGTTTTCTTTATCCGGGGTATTTTCTAATTGGAGCTGTTGTTTTCCTACCGGGTTTATTAGATTGGAATGATGTTTTAATGATACTTTGTCTCCTTTTTCTATATCATTTATGATTAGTGAAATTGTGTTTCTTATGATGAAAAAAAAGAACGAAACAGAGTATTCAGGAATACTTTAAAAAGAAGTTGAAAAACTGCAGGCATACAAGTTTGAACTTTGCTGGTTAAATTTCGGTGATGTTGGAAGTTGATCTAATTTATTAAATTTTATGCCCTTATATCCATTGGCTTGCCAGCTTTCAACGTTTAACTTGTAAGGAGCTGTGTGATATGCTTTGCTACATGCATACCTTATGTGTCTTTTTACTCTTTATGAAACTATCATTTTGGATCAGGGACATGGATTTCGGAAGGACCTTGTTCAAATGTTGGAAGATTTAAAACCTCAATTTATGAGATTTCCAGGTAAATTTGGATTTACTTGTCTTAATACGAGACAGTTACTAAACTTGAGCTTTTCATATATAACTCCAAGTGTACCATTTTCAATAGATAAAAGGTGATTAGCTTTACTCAAATCTGTCCAATAGATCTTGTTTTAGTATATAAGATCAACTCGTTGTTTGCGAGTGTGAATCCCACATCAGGAATTAAAGTCTTGCATGATAGTTTGAATGATCTTGGGCATCTCAACTCATTGCCATTCGGTTTTGGGTTGGATGTTCACATTATAACATGGTCTTAGAGCATGTTATCTACATGTTGGGCCCAACAGCCACGCTTGCTCTCACATCACCCAATATATATTGTCCATGTGGCTTGGATTGAGTGACACCTCATTTGTGGGGGTGTGTTGACGGAAGATTCTAGCTTTGACATTATTGTTGTGGAGGTTCATATATTTCATATGCTTTTACTATATTATCTCATCATGGTTTGTTGTTGTTTATGTTTGCCTGCTGTCCACTATATCTACCAATGTTCTATGGTATTTACTTATTTTCTCAAGCCTCTGAGCGAAAAGCAGGCTTCACAGAAACTTTGTAAGCAAAATGATTGAAATCTTAATGGGAAAAAAAAAATCCTGTTTCTTTACAAAGATGCAGATCTTTATTAAACAAGCTTAAATAAAAGTAACCTTGTCCTTCTTTGGCTGCTATCAGTTTACCTGCAGATATGAACTAATCCACTGTTTTCTCTGAAATTATTTTCATTTTTATCTTTTGGACATCATATACATTTGAATTTTTTTAGTGGGTAACCTTGCTGGCTTGATCGCCTGACCACTTGACAAAAATAACTTGGGACTCTTTTTAAATGCCAAACCATGCTAAAAATGCTTGATTTTGTGATAAGAGATGATACATGTTCTAATACGGTCAATACAGCGGAGCTATTATATTCAAAAAAATTCGTATTTTTTTTCTATTGTGTTGCATTAGGCGGCTGTTTCGTCGAAGGTGAATGGCTACGAAATGCATTTCGTTGGAAAGAAACAATTGGACCCTGGGAAGAGAGACCTGGACACTTTGCTGATTGTTGGATGTACTGGACTGATGACGGACTTGGTTATTTTGAGTTTCTCCAAGTAGGTATCTTTTTTAGTTCTGTCATTCAAGAATGCTTGGAGTTTCCTTTAAAATCCTGCTTCTGTCGGTACCAGTTTTTGAAAATTTTATTTATGCAGCTAGCAGAGGACCTTGGTACATTGCCAATATGGGTATTTAATAACGGTACTTCACATTTTCTCAGTGCTTACTTTATCTTTTCAATAATCACGTTTACCCCAATACTGACCGTATGAATTTCATAGGAATCAGTCACACTGATCAAGTTGATACTTCCAGTGTCTTACCATTTGTACAGGTATGTCTGCATTGCTGACCATTTTTCATTAGCTAATCAGTAACTGATACCAAATCGATGTAGCAAACCATTAATTATTTTTTAATCGGGATTATATCTTTGCAACTAAAGCAAATATATGCAAGTCACATTTAGGCTTTTCAAAATATGCTTCATCCTTATAAATCTGTGTTTGGTGTATGAAACATCTTTGCAAATATGGTTTTAGGAGATCAAATTTAGATTTTGCCTTCTTTTTCTGGTCAAGTAGTTTCGTTGTCTCCAAGCCTAGCTTCATTTGAGTTCCCACTAAAGGATGTTCATACAAGTGGGGTTGCTGTGGTGAGGGTAGGGCAGAGCTGCAGGTGACATAAGGTGTTGTCACTCATTAAAAAACACTAAAACATAGCAACAAAATGCAGTAAAAGCATTCACATTATGTGAAATATGTGTTAATGTGGTGTATTGGCTGCTACTAGGAAAACTTTGCATTGAACTCTCAATGTGATATGAGAACTTGTATCGACTCATTAACATTATAAGTATGAATGCTATATGTCTATCTAATGCAATTTGAACATAAATGAGAAGAACTGTGGATAAGATGAAGTTTTGATGTCCTATATAAGATAAATTTTGTTACTCAATTCCAAATCGTGTTAGTAAACCTGTTATGTGTTAGTAAATCTCAAACTTATGGTTTAACTTTCACATTTTCTTGTTTACAGGAAGCTCTTGATGGTCTTGAGTTTGCTAGAGGCAATCCTAATTCCACGTGGGGTTCTCTCCGTGCTGCAATGGGACACCCAGAACCCTTTGACTTGACATATGTTGGTATTGGGAATGAGGATTGCGGAAGAAAGAACTACCTAGGTTTGTAAATTTTCTAGTTCATGCTTTTTGTTTGCTCTTTAGTTGGTTAGATGGAACGGATTGAGTTTTACACATATGGGACGTTGGATGACTTTCTGCATGCAAAGTCATGCATAACTTAATCTGTTTATATGAATGTCCTTACAATTTAGTGCAGTTTTCACTCTTTTGTCCTTAAAACAATTGCAACTTTGCAATATGCTTCGGGAAATAACTCTGATTAAGATCTGAATTTTTTTCCACAATAACTTCAGTTCTTCACTCCAAATTCTCGAAAGAGTAGAATTCTAAAGGACAATTTCTACATAGGATCTACTTGTAAATTTGGGAGACGAGCCTTATTGATTTTCTCAGCAATTAGTCAACTGAATTGCTGAGCGAATCATCTGGCCAGCCTAACATATGTTAAAGTTGCACATCCAACACATAAGCAATTGGCAGAGGATGCAGGGACCTTGAATTTTAGATTTTGTGATTCAATGTAATATATATAATAGAGGATTTTATATTCTCAACGACGCTTATGCTTTTCCTCTTTTTCTTGACCAGGAAATTACCTTAAGTTCTATAGTGCTATAAAACGTGCCTATCCAGACATCAAAATAATTTCAAACTGTGACGGATCTTCTCAAAAGTTGGATCATCCAGCTGATTTGTTTGATTTTCATGTAAATTTCATAACACCACCACTTGTATTACACTTGCTAATGAATTTTTTTTTACCATTCAATGCGTCGGATCATTGATTTGGCAACATGGAATGACATGTTTTCATGTAAAGTTCTATGCAGATGATCCCAAAAACATGTTTTCTATGGCTCATCACTTTGATCATACATCACGTAGTGGTCCCAAGGTAGGGTAATGTGCTATTTAATCTGCTCTGCATGGCTTCTATTAATTTTCTTAACATTCAATATGATTCAGGCTTTTGTGAGTGAGTATGCCGTCACAACAGGAAGTCTTCTAGCAGCACTAGGTGAAGCTGGATTTCTTATTGGGCTGGAGAAAAACAGGTTTGTTGTAGCATTTCAAGAATTTGTTTCCTGTAATATTTTCCAGAATGCTTACAATGTTTTCTTTACAGAATTATTTTTCTTCAAAGTTCCAGCAGGAAAAATATGCATAGTTTGCTATCTTATATAGATATGCCTACACATAATTAAAGATCTAACTTCTTTATTATATATTTGCAAATACAGTATTTCTTCTTGCAAAAGAAATGCATAGCATTTCCTGCACTTTTGTTTGCCACAAATCCATGTTGTGTGTTGCCATATTTCCTTGTGTGATCAGCTGCACATCTGTTTTCTATGGAGTTGAAGGCTTCTGATATTCCCAACCTATAGAGATAGTATTAAACTGAAATAAAAAATCATAAATGGTAATAGATCACAGATGTACTTGTATTCTTTACACCTACTTTTTACCAAAAGATTTATATACTTGTAAAGACGGGCAGCTACTGAGTACTTTCATTGTTTATTCTTATCAAATGCAGTGATGTTGTTGAGATGGCAAGTTATGCACCACTCTTTGCGAATGACAACGGCAGGAAGTATACTTTTCTCATCTCATTTTTTTTTCTCCAATGCAATTTTTATTTGTTAAGTTTTCAAGAGGGGATCATTGTTGTGTAGTTATTACTAAAACTGAAAACTTCTCTGTCATCAAGCTCGAAATTCTCTGCAATCGTCTTTAACTCCTCACATCTCTATGGGACTCCTAGCTACTGGATGCAATGTCTTTTTAAGGAATCAAGTGGAGCAACTATTTTCAATGCAACACTCCAAACAAATTCGTCTACTAATCAAGTGGAGCAACTTCTTGCATCTGCAATTTCTTGGAAAAATTCAGAAAATGAGAATAGTTACCTAAGAATCAAGGTTTGTGCTAGTACATTATCTCAGTCAGTTTTATGCTTCGTGATGCTTAATTGAGATTGTGTTCATCTAACCTTTTTTGTTCTGTGTAAATTGTAGTTTTTCGATGCCCTTATAGCGTTTCTTGCCATCTAATACATATTTGGAATGCCTAGTATGGAGAGAAGCTCATATTTCACATTGCTCAAGAACTATTACGACTTTGTTGCTTCAATTGGAAAATATTAGAGGCAACTCAATCAATGCATGAATCAGAAATACTATAGCAATAAGTTTTATATGAATTGTCAGTTAAATATAGGGGGTGTATTTATAAATATTGTCCATTCTTTTTTCTGCTCAACTTTCTAGGCGTATCTGGTCTGAAAGTAACATGTGTTTGCTTGTACTGCGTTCTTTCTGTGTGTTTGGTGCCATCTTTCTTTGTTCAGTATGGTGAATCTGTCTGCTTTTCTTTTTCTGTATTGCTCAGTCTCTGGTCTGAACTATTTTTATGTTTAGGTTTCTTTTTTAACTATGACTTCATTCCAAATTCATGCCGCTTCGTTCAACAGTTTCTACCAATATGGTGCATGTCATATTCTGTGACATCTTATTACTTTGTGATGATTATTTCTTTCTGTAGATTGTGAACTTCGGAACAGACATAGTGAATCTCAAGATTGTTGTGGACGGGTTGGAGCCGAATTCCATTAATCTGTCTGAGTCGACCAAGACCGTGCTCACGTCAAACAACCCGATGGATGAGAATTCCTTGAATGAGCCAAAGAAGGTATCTGAGTCAACTTGTATCCTTTAACATTTTCATGTTGTTGAAGACATGACCCTACATTGCTTTTGTATATACTTTGGACAATGTTTGTGGGAACAATGATGAACCAATATTGATAGCGTTGAACATAACAATGCTTTGGACCATGTTTTCTATCCAATATCTTTTTACTTTGGTTTTAAATTAAATGCAGGTGATACCGAACCGGATTCCACTTGAGAAGGCTGGTGAGGGTGGTGAGGATGTGGAGGTTGCAATCTCGCCGAATTCTTTCACTTCGATTGATTTCTTAATAGAATCAAGCTAGAGCTGATTCTGTCTCCGTATCTTCTATTTAAAAGTTCGAAATAGAATAAGGGCTCATTTTAAATTGGTTTTAAATGTTGCTTTGGGTAAGGAAACACTAGTCTTGCGAAAGGGCACAAATAACAGACTTTTGGGATTTTAGTCTTTGGATTCTGATTCTTTATCCTTATTGTATTACTAACTAAAGGGTTATCCTCTATTTTTGAGTTTTATTAAGCCTAAACATATACAAGCACCTTGCGACGGGCTTGTAACTCAAGGAACTTAGGAGCATTTACCTCTTCATCCGAGATCATAGGTTCGATTACCCCCTCCTATATTACTCTTATAAAAGAAAGGCTTATTTACTGTTTAATTATTCCAGCAAAATAAAAGAGTTAAATAATTATGCTAGAGGTGGGCTCCACTTTGACCACATCACCCATTTAGATTATGGGTAAACCCTTGCCACATCATCAAAACTAACAAAGTGATAGAAGGAGATGATTGTAGGGGACAAAGTGAATCACTAAGCCTTGGTACTAGTTATACAATTGTAAAAGGGTATATTAGTGATTTGCCCCCTGAACTTGTACCTAACTTTCAATTAAACCCTTATCCTTTTTTTAAAGAAAATTAAAGATATGAACTTCTTTTTTTCTCCAATTTCCCCCATACCGTCTAAATCCCCAACATTTCATCCAATTTTTAGTTAAATTATTTTTAAAAATTGAAGAAAAAGAAGAAAATTGACAAAGAAAAATAAAAGAAAAAGACACTGAACCAGCAACCCTATCAATCCCATCACAACACAGCCAACTTCTTCAAGGTATGACTCTCAGTCTATCTTTGTCTATGTTACTGCTTTGCCACTGCCAAGTTAGTCCCCAAAAGTTGCACAAGACTCCTTTGTTTGCTTCCAATTGTGTGTCTCTTTCTCTCCTCCATTCATCTTGTGGGTGTTAGATTGTTTTTCATTTCTTGGCTTGCCAACTTCAAGCTCTTCCTCTTGGCTTTTGGTAAAGGATCTTTGTCTTCTGACCCATCAATCTCTCTTGGTCGCTTTGTTGCTGTTGCTTGCCTTCCCATCAAGATCCAACAAAACAACCCACCCCCAAATTCATTAGGCAAATACAAAAACACCCAAAATGATTCAATCCCATCTTTACCAAATCAAAATAACCAACTCAAAGAAAACTCCTCTCCAGCAAAATCACACCAAAATACCCAAAATGAAAATAGCCCACAACAACACAAAGAAAACCCACCTGCAAATCACCAAAATGGTCCCCAAAAATCAAAAATCACATATTGATGGCCAATTCAACGAGCCCTACCTCTCCACCTCACTCCAAGACTTCTGAGGCAGACGATGGAACCTCATGGTCACCAGCATCCTACAACCCACCGTTTACGAGCCCACCCTCGACATCTCCCGACGTGTCATTGATCGCAAGTGGGCACCGCTGCCTGCAGTGCTCACACTAATATACCTTTAATTTTATTTTTCATTATTTATTTATTTTTAATGTATAAAATGGTCATTTTGTCCTATTTTTAATGGCAAATTGAATGAAATGTTGTGGATTTAGATGTGGTGGGGGGTTGGGAATTGGCGAAAAAAACTTCATATCCTTAATTTTCTATAAAAAGAAAGATAGGGAGTTAATTGAAAGTTAGGTACAAGTTCAGAAGGCAAATCACTAGTATACCCATTGTAAAATATAGCAAATTAAACTCGAATGATTTGTAAATATCATTATGAATAGTATTCTATTGACTAACCAGACCAGAAATCTTTGAATTGCCATAAAACTCACAACTATAACATGAAGATTTCGGGACTACTGAGGTTTACCATGTAGAAAACTAGTCTCGCATGATTTACAAAATACTATTCTGAGCCATAAGCATTAACATTTTTTTAAATAAAAAAAATGTAAAACTCAAAAGAAAATCGGGGACATTTAGATGAATTGCCAGTTTCATATTTTATCAGCTACCTCTGCACTTGAATTTGACAAAATTGGTTTCCTATAGTCATGGACCAATAACTAAACTCATGCATTACCAAAAATTTCCTTTAAAATCAATAAAAAATATTTTTAGAATGCTAGTTCAACAATGTTTGACTTTACAAAAATCTGTCAGGTCTGGAAAATCCAGTGCTGGTACCGTATAGAGCAAATTGGGAACAAACTAGGGAAGAACATGGGAACGAAATATGAGAGGGTAGGTACAGCAAAATCCACTACTCCAGCACTGCAAAAGCAAGCACGAGTTAGTCCAAAATTGCATAATTTGTTTTCCAGAAATGATTGGTACTGATCATTGCAATTAAAAATAAATATAACTAAAAACAAAGCATGTACAGACATGGAAATTTAATACAACAATATCTCAACTTGGTAAGAATCTATAGACACTAGAAACTACATATATGTTATTGCAAGGATGCATTTACAGATCCAAAAATTAACAGAAAAATTCCAAGTACATGAGGAGATAAACAGAACATTTGAGTAGGACTTACCACAAAAAGCAATGGTCCCTGTTTAAACTTGTCATGAAATGAAAACGCCAACGGCTTTGGATTGTCCCCAGGTCCTCTAATAAATCCACTGAATTCATATATGGTATAAATCATAAGTACCAGATAAATTGATATCAAGTTCCATTTGTCAGCAAACAACAATATTAAATCAATGATTAGATAACAAAACTCAGCATTTGGCCAAAAATGAGAAAAAGAAAAAAAGAAGAAGAGTATAATCAACTCACATCAATGATGCAGATATTAGAGGAGTCCTTCTAACATCATAAATGGCAATAAGACCTCTGTATAACTCATCACCATCTTTAAAAGATACAGCCAAACGCTCTCCTGAAGCATCCCAAGCTATCTTCTCAATGGTCTGACTGGAGGAAATAACGACATATCAGAACTTTCTTGGGCAAATATTACCACGTACAAGTGGTATGTATTGCTATACACGCTGAGGTTTTTAACTCGCAACTGTAATTTAAAATAACAAACTATAAAGCTTTTCTGCAATTCTTAGTTTGAGGATTGTTTAGTCTGATCAATCCTCAAGGAGAATTTTAGTAGCGTCCCATGTGAAGCAGAAAGCACAAGGCAGGAACATAATTATGAACGAGAGAGGAACAGAAAAAGAATGTAAATTGGAATCTTATATATCTACTTATTTACTTATGGATAAAATCAGGCAATATGGATGGCATCAACATGTCGGCTTTAGTAACTTTTTCTTCTTCTTTCCTTTTCATTTTTTCTTTTGTTTTCAGAAGGCAATAGTAGCAAATGGATTGGCTTTGGGTACTCTACATGGCAGCACAGAGCACTGTAATGGTATTGCAAGGGACGGTAAAGATGATGAGTGAATGATCACTAAACATTGAAGTAAGCTTTAATGTTGCAAGCATTATAAGCACTCCAGAAAAGAAATGTTGAGAAACTAACTTCACCAGAGACTACCAAATAAAGGCCAATGGCCCTGCTACTAGACAGTCCAGAAATTAAAGCAAATTACCATGGATGCTATAAAAAAAATATTAAGAAATCCAATTAGCTCACTTCCAGAAACCAACTTATCAAGAAATCATGCCAAATAAAAATGTCTTTTGCAATTAACTCTTAACTCTGTGAAAGCAACAATATAATACAGTTCTGATAAAGAAACCCCATTAAATGACAAATGGTTGATCAAACACTCATAGAGCAATCAAAATATAGAGAATATAAAAACAGCAACAAAAGATTACTGTTTACCTGTTTGTTAAGGACATAATCTCTGGTAGCTCAACAGGTAATAAGTGCGCATCTGAAAGTTACAAACATGACCTTACCAGTAAGAATCCAAATACATTTTTCAATTGCATCTCAAAAACTGTTATCCATCATGACACTATTGACATTCATTTGAAAATCAAAATTTGCAAGTTCTTTTAACCATCGCATCACTGATCTGTAAAAAGGATCAGTGTGTACACGGAAATACTTCCTTAGAAAAAATAACAGTATATATCAAACGTCCAAAGTGCACACTGCAAACACTAAGGAAATGTATTCAGACAATTTTCTCTCTTCTGAAAGAAGGCTAAAATAGGTAATCCCATGAAAATCTTGTGTGTTTCACATCATAGGTGCAAATTCAATAATCAGGTTGAAATCAACGATAAAATTTATAGGCAAGAAATCAGACTACTTATTGTTTTCTACTAAAGTCATTGAATAATGCCATAAAATTTCACATTTCAACAGAAAACCAAATGAGATAGTGCTATTGCATTAGATACTGTAGTCAATGTATGCAATTTACAGCCTGTTTGCTTAGTTAAGGGCTGACTGTAATTGTCTACTATAAGGGAAGTTGCAGGAATCCTTGGAAGGGCATTTCTAGAGGATACGATGCTTTTCAGAGCTGCTGTAAATTGGTAGTTGGGAGAGGTTAATGTGAGATTCTGGGAGGATATTTGGTCATGGGGAGAGTTCTTTGGCAGAAACTTTTCCAAAATTATATAGGTTATCAAGTTATCATGGCATGTCTATTGCAAATTGTACAAATCCAGATTTGTTCCCTTACAGTTGGGATTTTGGTTTTAGGAGGAATCTAAGAGAGAAGGATATGGAGGAGATGCCAAACTTGCTAAGGATGCCGGAGGAGGTGAGATTATTCCCATACAGAGAGGATGTAAGAAGATGGTGTTTAGAGACTTCAGGTCAATTTTCTTGTACCAAGCTGGGAATTAAGGTCCATTCTCAAAGCTTCAGGAGTCATTACTGTAGGAAATTCCAACTAAATTCAAGAGCAGATTTTCAGATAAATTTGGTTCTATGCATTCTATAAAAGCTCGTGTATTTTATTCATTGCAATGCAACAGACAGAATATCTTTTCAACAGAGAATCAGAGATCAAAATGACACATACAATACTAAATCTTTGCAAATTCCAAATTCCAATAGAGCTTGAAGGTACCTAAGTAAGACCTCAAGTAATACAGATATCAAATTATTATTAGAAGCTTCCTCCAAAGCATTCAACCATTGTTGCTAAGATGCTTCTCAAGGAAGGAAGGAAATCTTCGCAATCTTCTAAATATTCTGGAGGTTTTCAACTTGTGTTCTGGTCTGAAAATAAATAGAGGAAAATGCTCAATTGTTGGAATTAATGCAGAAAACAGTGAAGTAGAGGGCCTGTCCGTTGAGATAGGTTGTGGCAAAGGAAGCTGGCCTCTGACTTACCTTGGGCTGCCTCTTGGGGGAAAACCTAGGAGCTTACCTTTTTGGGACCCGGTTTTAGAGAAAGTAGAACGAAGGTTAGAAGGTTGGAGCAAGGCGTTTCTATCTCGAGGGGGAAGATTGACTCTAATTCAGGCAGTATTGAGCAGCCTACCAACTTACTATTTATCACTATTCCGAATTCCAGCTAGTGTGGCAAAACGGCTGGAGAAGACAATCAGAAACTTTCTGTGGGAAGGTGTGGAGGAAGGTAGGAAGGACCACTTGGTGAAATGGGAGGTAGTGTCCTTACCAAAGGAAAATGGGGGACTCGGGATTGGAAATCTAAGGAAACGTAATGAGGCCTTACTTGGGAAGTGGCTATGGAGATTCCAAAATGAAACCAATACCCTCTGGTACGATGTGATTAAGAGTAAGTATGGGTTACAGGTGAATGGGTGGGACTCTAAAATAATATCGGTAGGTTCCAGCCGATGTCCATGGACTGAAATAATCAAAGTTTTGGGTTATTTTGCTGCTTGTTGTCGCCTCAAGGTCGGAAATGGTGAAAGAGTAAGATTTTGGGAAGATGTGTGGCTGGGAGATACGACTTTGGGGGAGAGGTTCCCTCGCCTTTTCCGACTATCTCGTAAACAAAATGCCAAAATCGCAGACATCTCTATAGACAGGAATGCCCTCCCACTAAGCTGGGACTTTGGGTTCCGTAGAAACCTAAGGGATGAGGAAATAGAGGAACTATCTGAGCTACTTTTCAGATTGGAACAGGTCGTGTTGGTTCTTAGTAGATGCGACACCAGAGTTTGGAACTTAGAGCCCTCAGGAGTATTCTCCTGTACTTCTTTTACTAGGCACCTGATGGTAAATCCCCATCCAAATCTCTGCTTCCCTCCAGCTGTAATCTGGAAATCTAAAGCTCCCCCTAAGGTAAAAGTACTAGTTTGGCTAATCGCTCAAGGCAGAATTAACACATGCGACTTGGTCCAAAGGAAAAGACCCAGCTGGTATTTCTCTCCTAATTGGTGTGTCCTGTGCAAAAAAGAAAATGAATCTGTGGATCACCTCTTTGTGCTATGTCCCTTTGCCTCGTCCCTGTGGGCTAAGCTATCCCGGGAGACGGGGATAACATGGGGAAACTTTGCAACTTGTAGTGAGGTGTTGGAAGCCAGGTTCAGATTCTTTGGTGGGAGGAGGAAGGGTTTAGTGTTGGGAAACTGTGCCATGATGGCAATTTTCTGGCAAATATGGGGGGAAAGGAATAGGAGAATTTTTGAGAATGTGATGGGGGACGAGGTAGAGATGATATGGGATCGTATCCGAGTCTGGGCATCTCTTTGGGCCTCTGTTTCTGTAGAATTTAAGGATATCAGCTTTCAGCTTATCCACCTAGATTGGAAAGCAGTAGTGTTGTAGTGCAGAGCTTTTTCTTTCTGTTTTGTAAGATGGCCTCCTTGGCCATCTCGTGTTTTTCGCTCTATCCTATTTGAATAATACTGTTTCTTTTCAAAAAAAAAGATGCTTCTCAAATTTCGTCTTATATATCTATAGTTTTGTTTGTCTTCTAAGATGTTAGACATAGGAGAACCCACACTTCTTATTCAAAATACGTTGCATTTCCTTCCAATTGTTAGGTTTCTAACAACTTTCTCATGTCAATTAAGTTGAAAAAAAAAGGACAACGACAATAGAGATCAAAAGGCACTATATGTCAATGGACTCAAAACATAAAACTTGTAAGTAAGCTCGCTTACCAAGTGATGGAGGCTTTGAAGCAAAGTGAATGGAACCCAATGTTGAAGATTTAGAGAAAGCGAGAAGTATCATATGCCCATCAGGATCCCATGATGCTCCCTAGAGTATAAAAAATATATTAAAATAAGGGAAAATTCCAATCAATATAGAACTTTCTGTTCAATTAAATCTGAATGTGCTTTTAAATTAGCTTGATGAGTGGGGGATTAACATATGGTGGAGACGGATAAGAGAGAGAGAGAGAGGGAGGAAGAGGGGGTGGGGGTGGGTGGGGTGGGTGGGTTTGGAGTGAGATAGAGTTTTGAGAGGTGTAAAGGTCGGGTAGTCTAAACTTTGAGAAACTTGCAAGGGATTCTTGAAATGAGCATTTTAATATTTCTAGGCAACACAAAATGACTGGAAAAATTCCATAGGCTGACAGCTCAATCATCAAATTTTTTTTATAGCTACATGGGTCATCACTTTAAATAAAAATTCTATGCATCAACAAATTATGAACATTCATTTTTCTTTACCTTGACGAAGCCACTAGTTGAAGACCATGGTTCAGATGTCCATGTGTTTGTCTCCCAGAGATAAAATGTTCCATCACTGTAAAAGAACAGAATGATCATCTTATGAACCAGCTTCAACTAAGAGTGGGACAAACCAAATCAGAGTGCAATTACTCAAAGAAGAAAGTACAATTTTGCTGAGAAAAAGTAATCCCCAGTTGGCGACCACTTCAGCATTGATATGCCACCTAGTCCTCGTCTAATGGGTGTCCCAAGCCCTGATAAAGCAAATAAAAAAATGAAATCATACATTCCGAAAGTAGAGTTTACTTTTTCTGCTTCAAAAAAGTTAAATAATCTCATCACTCATCAAAAAAATAAAAAATAATAGATTTTGGATAGAGGGGTTTGGCGGTAGAGAAAGAAACACAAATATTAACTCCATAATGCTAGTCTGCTCAAGCACAAGCAGCTTTTAGAAAGAGCTTTCTAAAATAATTTTGAAAGCACTTAAAACACAGCAAAAGCACATGAAAAAGCACCTCAGTAAAATATACCAAACCACAATTCATTGCTTCTTAAAAGGAAAGCAAAGAAACACTATCAATATTTGTATAATATTCCATTGCCTGCTCAAGCACAAGTAGCTTACAGAAAGCACTTCCTGAAATGTTTTTTTTTTTCAAAAGCATCTAAAATACAAGCAAAAGCACCTTGGTAAAATATACCAATTCAAAATTCGTTATTGAAAGAAAATCGCATGCAAGTTGTTACAAAGCAATCGTGAATGGAGCCCTTGTCTTCTCATTGTTTTTTTCCCAATCTTCACAGTATATACCAAATCATTCATAAAATTCATTAATAGTTCTCAGAAACCAGCGTCAGTTCTACAACAGTATATGCAACTTAAGTGACAAATATTTGAGGTTGCAGTTTTGCAAAGTGTAAGTAAGATCAAGTTATTTGGACAAACAAAACTAGAATGGTTGTGGTAATGTAGTAATGAACATGCTAATGATGATAAGCAAACATCAAGTTTAACATGCAAAAAAACAAGAAACAATGTCTGGTGGTAATGTAGTAATTAACATGCTAATGATGATAAGCAAACATATAAGCTTTAACATGCAGAAAACATGAAACAATGTCAAGCAATAGCCAAAAAAGTCACCAGAAAACTAGAGAGCACATTAAGAGTGGTAGTAGCAGGTAATATATGATCAATACCTTGAGCAACATCCCATATGGTAAATGACGAGCTCTCATAAGAGCCAGATGCCAAATATGTAAATCCACGTCAAGGAAATCACATATAGCACTACTGAACAAAACTGAAGGTGAAAACAAAGGCTCTTTTTCAATACAAAGAAAACTGGGCCTTTGTTACTACTTGAGACAAAATCCTATATTATCCTTCCTTGTATATAGAAAGAAAATTGATGTCATACGATAATACTATAGAGCAGGTAAACTTATGTGGACTACTGCTACAAAATGCAAAAGGAAAACAAAAGCTAAAAAGTTTTCTCAAATTTTTTAATAATCACATATAGATGACAGTGATAAATTGCAAGAAAGCCTATATTTTCATGCAGAGTCTCATCAATTTAAAATAATTGAAAACCAAAACAGAGATTGTTTGGATATCTTCCATCGGGACTCCATGACAGTGCACTGATCTGTTCCCCGTTATGACTTCGAAGAAAATCCACCAAAGTATATCGGACTCCAGAACCTCTAGAGAGAGTTCCCAAGAATGAAGAAGCACCGGATCTGACAGAGGCTGCACTTCCCGGGAAAGAAGCAGCCCAAATGCAAATTCCACCACTGAAATTAAATCCCACGCAATGAGAGAAAATCAGACTTACAATCATATAGCCCATCTAAATACATAAAATGTAGATATACAGAAACTATGATACTTGCTTGCATGCTACGGAAAGTTGTCTCCCACCATTTGGCCTCCACTCAAGTACCTTGACCTCTCTCTGGGACTCATTAGCCAAAATGCATGGCTCCTTCCCTTCTGTTGAAGTATAAATTGTATTGGCAAGCCAATGAAAATAGCAGAGAAACAACTTATACAGTTGAAAGCACTAACTAGTAAAGCATCTAACCTGAATCCTCGAAATCACGAACTATAACTTGATTTGGGCCAGATATAAATGCTATAATATGTTTATGTTGGTGCCAGCTGACTCCTTGAAGATCAACTTCTGGTAACAAGTTTACCTACAAGTTCAGTTAGTAAGGACCTAGATTTAAGAATCCTTTTACCACTTTCTCATCTAGAAGTCTTTTTGCACTTTCTTCATAACTGTTGTCTCTCATATGAACCTTGTCGCTGCTTAACTACTAACAACAAGCTAAGCAATCAGAGCTAATCAAGGGTTGCTAATACACTGATAAGATAATGTAATACTAGTCATGGCAACATGGACTCAAGGCAATAACTCTACAGTTTTATGGTACATGCTGGACATGGCATTTAAAACTTTATTATCTTTCTGAATAATTAGGGTGAATTTGTAATTTATGTGTCATATCTACATTCAACGACTTTTGATGGGCACATGTCTTGACACTAATGGGCGGCTGAAACGTGGCACAAACAGAGATGCTTCTTCAACAAATATTGGATGCCACGAAACAGAAGTCGAACCAACTATTGGGTTAGCATTACTGCTACTCCGATCAGATTATTGGTTTGTCTTGCCCAATAAATCTCATACTCAACATGGTATTTGTATTCTTAATTAGATAATGCCTAACTCAACTCCCATGGTAGGTAATGACTCTTCCAAAAGGACCACATGCAAAAATATACACACAAATGGAAAAAAAGTTCAACTGGTTGATTAGTAAATACAGAAAAGAAAATCCAACACACATGATTAGGATGGAAGAGAGGTGTGAGAGAGCGGTTGAGGATCCCCTGCAAATTTTGTAGAAGTCCCTTTGTTGAAGCTGTCGTTGCAACTTGTTGGTCGTCCTGGTCGGGGCTTGGTGGCCGCGCCAGCTGATCCGGCTGAAATGGAACCGGACTGAATACCATTCCCTACACAAAAATTTCACATACACCCCCAAATTCCAATGCCACATGAACACGATCAATAATGTACAATGCATTTAAGAACTGAATTTGAAAAAAGGTTTACTACTCACAAGAATCTTTCCATAAGTGTCCTTGGCTACATCATCCGAGAGGCTCTCAGCAGTGACTGCAAATTATATGCATATATATGAATATCAATTTACATATAAAACACGTAGAGAGAGAGAGAGAGAGAGAGAGAGAGAGAGAGGTTTGTTCATACTGAGGTCGCGATTGATTTCGCATATGGAGACAGAACCAGGATGAGGAAAGGAAGGCATTTCTTCCTTGTGTTGGAGTTTGGAGACGACTAGGGTTTCGTTGTGCCTCTTCTGTGCTCACACTTTTCCCGCTTTTGAAAATGCTCAAGCTCAAACTCAGTTCAGTTTCTCAATCGAATTTACCAAATTATATTGTAATGGGCGACTCTTTTCTGCCCTCCGAAGATTTTTTATTTTTATTTTCAAATAAATCCTCTGTGCGTAGCTTTCTAGCGGTTTTTAGATTTTAATTTTTAATCCCTCTATCGGCATCTGCCCTCCCGCTCAATCTGTGCCGGCTGTGAAATTTTATGTTTTTGAGATTTTTTTTTTTTTTTTTTTAGAACAAATTACATAAGGGTAAAACTTTAAAAAGTTATTTTCAAGTTCATACCCAACTTTGGAGACATTTACTAGTACATACTCAAACTCCCGGAATTGACCCCAAAAAAAAAAAACCTCCCGGAAAACTTACAAATTGCCCCCACCGTTAGTAAGACGGTTAGTAAGACTGTTAAATCCTGATGTGGCGAATATGGGTTCCATTTTTTTATGACGTGGACTTACAGGTGGACAAATAAATAATAAAAAATTATGTACCTGTTAAAAATAATTTTAAAATCATATTAAAATCATTAAAAAATGAAGAAAAAAAATCTCATCTCTCTTCTCCTACCCAGCTAACCCTCTCTCCCTCTTGACTCAACCCCACCTCTCAGCCACCCCTCTCTCGTCACCCACCCCCAGAGCCAACTCTCTTTCTCTCTCCTTCTCCCTCTCAACCCACCTCAACTTCTCCAGAAAGCTGTCCGGAAAGCTCATCCTTCTTCTCATTTGGAACATTCTTGTCTGGTTCCGCTAATTCTAACAGCTTAGAGCATCCACAGTGGGGGGTGTAAATTCGGGGGTGTAAAGCCACTTTTACATCCCCTTTACACCTCCGGGGAGTGTAACTATGTTTTTTGCTCCAGTGGGGGGTGTAAATTCGGGGGTGTAGCCGTGGGTCCCAGCCTTTTATATTGACTTTTCTTCATTTTTCTTCTCTTTTCTCGGGTGGGTCCCGCCTGCAAGGGATGTAAAAATGGATGTAAATATACATTTTATTTTACATCTCCATGGTGGTGAAGTATATTTACATCCATTTACATCTCACCATTGGACATACACCCCCATATACACCCCCCCACTGTGGATGCTCTTAGAATGCGCCATGGATGTAAAGATTTTGTCCAATTCTGGCTCAAAATCTTCTAGTTCTTCCTTATGTTTTGCTCTTTTTGCATGGGAATAGACCAAAAGAATAATGAAGGATGGAAATCATAACTAAAGGACAAAACAAAACAAAAAAAAGAGAAAAAAATCCCAGAGTGTGGGCAATCCTTCTTGCTTTTAAAATCCCACCATGTGATGCAACGAGGCTATGTTCCTTGCAACTCGTAGACCCAAGTTCGAACGGTGATGGCAACGTTGCGAGCTGGTGAGAGGAACAGTGTCAACGAAACGTGGCAGATTTGGCCAAATTGTTATCGGCGCGTTGGTGATCTCTCCAGCTTGGGGCTACATCGTCTTAACCGGTTTGTGTAGATCGGAGGCTTTTCATTACAACGATGCTAGCAGTGTCGCTTGGGGATATCAAGAAGGTCTCGAACTAGGGGTGGCAACAACTGCCAGTTTTCCAAATCGGACGCTTGTTATTTTATTATGTAGGTTAGGCTAGAAATAAGGGGGGATATCAGATATGATGGGTTTGGTGGGCATGGGGAAATGTTGAAGAAGCCGACGAGGGTTTGGTGGTCTTCTTAGTTTTGCTGGATCGAAGCTAGGGCTGGCAATGGGTCGTGTTGTGTCGGGATAATAAACGTGTCAAGAATGCTCAACCCGAACCCAACCCATTTAATAAACGTGTCGTGTCGCGTTCGGGTCGTCTTTTATCGTGTGGGTTTCGAGTCGTGTAACGGGTTCATAAATAATAACATGCATGTTACAAAACTCACAACTGAACAAATTTAAATAAAAAACCAAGAGAGGAGAGAAAATATAAGGAAAAAAAAGAAAACAAAAAGATAGAGAGAGGAGAGAAGAGAGAAAAAAGAAGGAAAAGAAAAAAAAATAGAGAGAGAGAGAGAGAGAGAGAGAGAGAGAGAGAGAGAGAGAGAGAGAGAGAGAGATAAGAGACTAGAAGGGGTGTGGAGGTGGTCCTCAAGGACATGAATGGTGATGACATTGTCACCAAGCTCTGCCACTTTGACGAGTGCCCACATCAACCGCTCATTGCTGCGTGAATCTAACTTCACCCCCACCACTACCGTCTTCCCACCACCACCACCACTGCCTTCTCCGGTCAACAACTTCATTTCACCATCAGCTGCCTTTAGTCCGACATCGTTTCATTTTTGGAGAAATCAGTCACTCCAATGGCACTGGAGTTTGTTTGTTTGTCTATATTGGAAATTGGGAAATTGGGAAATCAAATCCTGGTTGGTTGGTCAAGATGGAGATGGTCTCGGAGGAAAATCTCATGTTGTTTCTTCGGCTCCTTCTACCTTGTTCACTTGCTACTCTCTCTCTCCCTTTGTCTCTTGTGCCTGCTCCAGAGAGATGAGGAAAGGAAGGAAGGTCTGTTGGGGGGATGGGTTTGGGGTGGAGGGTGGCTTGCAATGGTGGCCATGGGAAATAGGGGAGAAGAAAATGGGCGGTTGCGGGTTGGGGTTCTGGGTTTGTGGGGAAAGGGGAATGGGGGTGTGTGGGTGAAAAAAAAAATTGAGGAAGGGAGAAGAAATCTGGGGGAAGGGATGGATCTGGTTTGTGGACGATATGGGGGAATTGGCAATAAAAATTAGTTCGTGTACTCACTTTTCCAGAAAGAAAAAAAAAATGGTGAGGTTGCAAATTGAAAGTAGAGTACAAGTTCAGGGGCTAAATCGACAGTAAACATTTGTTTGTAATTGCGATACTACTTGCCCCTTTACTTGTAACGAGTGCGAATCACATTTTGACACATATGCAAAAGTAATTCATCAAAAACACAAAAAGAGAAACTTTTGCACACATATCACACTGCTATTTTCAGGAATGTAAGAGCTTCCACTGACCTGATAGGGAGGAAAGTATTTTTCTTGTAAGGCTTTTTATCATAAATGGTCCTTGACGTTTACGAAATTATCACGAATGGTCCTTGAGTTTTTTTGTGACACTAAGGCCCCGTTTGGTAAGCTGGACTGGACTGGATATTTTCAATTAAAATGGACATGAGTCCTAGCCATTGTTTGGTGGACTTAAAGTGTGTCTAGGACTGGATATTGACTTTGGATCCAAGTCCCAAATAATTGGGGCTTAGAAACCCAACCCCAGACATGGGTTTCGAAGCCAGAGAGCACGCCTCCAGCCATCTCTCTTCTTCTCTCTCTTCTCTCTCTTCTCTGTTCTGTCTTCTTCTTCTTTCTCTCTTCCCCTCTACTCTTCTCTTCTCTTCTCTTATCTTCTTCTCTCTTTCTTCCCCTCTTCTCTTCTTTTCTCCTCTTCTCTCTTCTCTCAGATCCTCTCTCTCTTCCCCTTTGCCAAATCTTCTTCGTTGCCATATATAGACCTCAGATCTTGAATGAAAGGCATATCGTGGAAGAAAAAATTGGTGAAAGGCAGATTCATAACTTCTTCCTCTTTATTTATATATATAATTTTGCAATTTTTTGTTCTTTGAGATATGAAGGGAGGTGGCTGAAAATTCAAGATCTGATAAAGAGTAGGTAAAAACTGGTATTTGGGGAGGGAGTGAAAGCTTGAGTGCTGGCGTCTACTTCTGGGAACCTGCTGCTGCCATCAAACTCCACCTCATGCCTTTCGTCTTCTAGCTTCCACCCATTATTTTATATTTGTATTTTTTTGTTGGATTGAAGATCTATTTTGTTGTAATTAATTTGGAAATGAGAATATAAAAATAAATAAATGGCATACTAATCTCAACTTTGGTGTTGTACTGCACCAAACAACTTCTTAAAATCCAGTAATATCCTAACCAGTCCAGTGTAATGTAGAAAGGTTAATCCAGTCCAGTCCAGTCTAGCTTACCAAACAGGGCCTAATAGTCCTTAACGTTTGGACTTTTTATCACAAATGGTCTTTGCCGTCAAAAATTCTGTTAAGTGTATGATGTGGAAGATAAGTGGAGCCCACATGTACAATCACATCGTGACATGTGGATTAAATAAATAAATAAATCTGAAGTCTATATTTCTCCTTATTTTTTCGTGGGCTGGCGTGTATTACATGGGTTGACACCTATGTTGCACGGACACGGATACGGGGACACGGGAACGCGACACGGCGACACGGAAAATCTTAAAAAAGTAGGACACGGACACGGCAATTAAAATAATAATTAATTCTCAATATTTCAAGACAGAGAAACAAGACTTTTATTAAAAATAAAAAACCAA